GCGGCTTAAGGGGTCAAGGGGCGGCGGCGCTGAACCACGGTCAGGACGGGGAGGGGTCTCCCCGGTTTACACCTGGCCGTGTGGGAGGCGTCGTCCGCCCCGTATAGCACCGAGGTAGCCCTGGCGGCACCACCACCAACTGGTGAGTGGGCCGTCCCCCAGTTGGGCTCCGAGGTGGGTGGGGAGCCCCGGTGCCGAAATAAAGAACAACCTTGCATGGCATCTACAAACCCAAAAACTCCCGCCCCCGAGAGCGGGACGGACTGCGATGAATTTAGGGTGCAGCGAGGAGTCGGTTCCACCTGCTCCACGCGTTCTTGTCTTCCGGAGTGATGTGAAGAACCTGGCATCGCTTTCACCGTTTCAGCGCCGAAACGGATGCGACAGGTTGGGAAAAGTCACCCGCTGTGACAAGCTGAGGGACGGCGCGATCGAAGTGGAGTTCGCAAACGGCACCGATGCGACTCGAGCTTTGACTGTAACTGAATTTGTATATGCCGCGAGAACCGAGGGTGCAAAGCGAGACGTGAGCGTGCCGGTCACGGTCACACCGCACCACACCAAAAATTTCTCAAAAGGTATCATGAACTGCTATGACCTTCGTGACGTCAGCGAGGAGGAAATCATCGAAGAGTTGGGAATTTTCGGGGTCACGGCAGCACGTAGGATCACGACCAGGAGGGGTGATGACCAAATCCCTACAAACAACATTATACTGACATTCAACCGGCCTGATTTACCGTCTGATATCCGCATTGGCTACGCAGTTGTCAAAGTCAGGATCTTCGTCCCGAATCCGATGCGATGTTTTCAATGCCAGCGCTTTGGTCATACAAAACCACACTGCCGCAATCGAGCTGTCTGTGGGAAGTGTGCATCTTCCGAGCATTCGGGAGACCAGTGTACCTCTGTGCAGCCCTGGTGCGTGAACTGTGGCACGGGGCAGGTACCGCACACAACTTTCGATCGAAGTTGTCCAGCCTTCATGAAGGAAAAGGAAATTATATCACTCAAAACTTCAAAGAACATTTCTTTCCGCGAGGCGCGTGAACAGTATGAGGCTAATCACCCCAAGGTATCTTATGCCGAAAAATCCAAAACCTCTGTACCACAGTCCACCAGCATCAGTCACATGTCAGCGGTCCAACTCATCACGCTCCTGCGATCCTTCGGTTTGTCTGTGGTGCCGGCCGGGCGGGCGACCCCCGCCCAGTCGGATCCTCCTGGCCCTTCAGTTGCGTCCTGCTCTACCAACGCTGTGTCGTCGGGGTCGCAGGCGGGGGAGGAGGAGGGATGGACGGTGGTCAAGCGCGGCCATGGTCCGCGGGCTCGGCCTTCCTCGCCGTCTGTCACTCCGCTGCCCTCGTCGCCTCCGGCGACGCTGGCGAGTGTGTGTGGACGAGCAGCGGAAACGATGGAACGGCATGAGGCGGACAGGCGCGCCCGCGACGCCAAGCGGGCCCGCCTAGCGGAGTTGGAGAGGGCTAAGACGGCCAATCGCTTGTCCGTTGCAAGCAAGAAGCCCACCCCTCGCAGCGGCACACCATCGCCGAGAAGGCCAGTGGAGGCCCCCGCTGACCCCCAGACGCCCGGTAGAGGCCCGCCGATGGGCCCTCCCCCGCCGCCACCCCGGACCGGGTACGCTGGCGTCAAGCGTGCCCCGGCCGGTCCCCCGTCTCCATCTGACGGCGGGAGCCCCAGAACTCGTCCCAGAGTGGGGCACCTCCCTACAGAATCCAACCGTGGCTCTCAGTCAGAAAAGTCTGCTTCTGCAACTGGCGCAGCCCAGTTCTTTTAGGACGTGCCCGGTTTTAGTATGTGACCTCCAACCGGCTTTTTAACACGCCCCCTTTACAGGCCTTTTTACAGTGGAACTGTAGAGGAATAAGGGCGAATGCCCTCAACCTCCAGGCTGTCGTCAGCAAGCACTGTCCTGCAGCCGTAGCGCTGCAGGAGACCAAGCTTGCTTCTAGTCACCACTGCACGCTGAAGGGATACGCCCTGTTTCGCAATGATGTGTTAACTGACGGTATCGCACATGGCGGTGTCCTTCTTGCAGTCCACCACAGCGTGCCAGCCAGGAGGTTTAAACTGCGGTCTACGCTACAGGCTGTAGCCGCACGCCTACATTTTAATCACCGTCACATCACGGTGTGTTCTTTATATCTTCCACCTGGCGTCGGTTTTCCATTGGAAGACATGAGACGTTTAGTGCATGAGTTGCCTTCACCATGTCTTCTTCTGGCGACTTCAACGCTCATCACACCGTGTGGGGCTGTGATAGCACGAACACCCGCGGAAGGATGTGCGAACATTTTATCCGTGACTCGTCACTGTGTATTTTAAACACAGGGACTCGTACTCATTTTACACTGCCGTCTGGTCAGACTTCCGCGCTTGACCTGAGTCTTTCTAGTCCCGAGCTGGTGGAGAGCCTCGAGTGGTCTGTGGCAGATGATCCAATGGGCAGCGATCACTTCCCAGTGTGGCTTCGATTCCAAATAAGAGGAACGTTGGGTGTAAGACCACGACGTTGGAATTTTAAAAAGGCTGACTGGAGAGAGTTTGAGGCTCGACTGGAGACATTATGTCAGACCGGAGGTGTGAGGGTGGCACCCTCTATTGAGGATTTTACTCACAGACTTCTAGATTGCGCTAGCGATTACATCCCGCGCACTTCTGGATTTCCTCGTCGCACTCCTGTGCCGTGGTGGACGGAGAAGTGTCGTGACGCAATTCGCGCACGCAAACGTGCTTTCCGAGCTTTTGACGCCAGAAGTAGCTTGGAGAATTTAGTAGCCTTTAAGAAAGCCAGGGCTTTCGCCCACCGCACGATAAAAGAAGCGAAACGTGAATCCTGGCGTATGTACATAAGCACGCTCAACCGATTCACACCAACTTCGCAGGTGTGGGCTCGGATCAAACGTATCTCCGGGCAGTTTTCATCCGTGCCACTTCCTGTGTTACATGTTAACGGCCAGGTGGTGACTCATCCGTTGGATGTGGCTAACGGGATCGCCCGAGCACTCTCCCACCGTAGCGAAGGTGCAAACATGAGCCCACAGTTTTTACGGCAAAGAGCACAATCCGAAAAAACCGTAGTGAACTTTTCTACAAGGCAACCACAGGCGTACAATGAGCCCTTCACTTTGGTGGAGTTGGAGTCGGCAATCGGAAGACTTCGTAGTGTGTCGGAAGGTCCTGATGACATCCACAATGGGATGCTCCGACATCTGCGTCCGTGTGCACGTCGTGCACTATTGGCGGCTTTCAATAGGGTGTGGTCAAGAGGTGAGTTCCCTCCGGCCTGGCGGGAAGCTGTTGTGGTGCCTATCCTAAAACAGGGGAAGAGTGGGCTGGACCCTCTTCATTACCGACCCATTTCACTGACGTCATCACTGTCCAAGCTCATGGAAAAGATGGTAAACGTGCGACTCACTTGGTTTTTAGAGAACAACGATATTTTTAGTAACTCGCAATGCGGATTTAGGAAAAACCGTAGTACGGTGGACCATCTCTTAACACTGGACACCACGGTTCGCAAGTCTTTTCAAGAAAAAGCGCATATGGGGACAGTATTCTTCGACATTGAAGCCGCCTATGACACCACATGGCGCCATGGTATTGTTCAAAAGCTCTTTAAATATGGTGTACGTGGCCATATGGGTGCTTTTCTCCAAAGGTTTTTAGCCAAACGATACTTCCGTGTTCGGGTCGGCAACGTCCTCTCCGACAGGTACGAACAAATAAACGGCGTGCCCCAGGGCGGCGTGTTAAGTGTTGCACGGTTCGCAGTTATGATAAATGATATTTGTGATGTGCTCCCACAGTCGGTCGGACGTGCCCTTTTTGTTGACGATTTTACTATTTGGACCAGTGCAGCGAGAGCACCAGCGATGGAGCGGCGTCTCCAGCTGGCTGTGGACCGCGTTGAAAGATGGGGGTGACATGAACGGGTTTCGTTTTTCAGGCGACAAGACCGTTGCGATGCATTTTTGTCGTCGCCAGCGATGTGATGATCTGAGCATCCGTCTATATGGTCGCTCTATTCCAAATAAGGCCGTGGCCAGGTATCTTGGGATACACTTTGACCGCCGCCTTACATATAACGCACATCTTAAAATGTTACGCGATCGATGCTTTAAATCTCTCAACATACTAAAGTGTGTGTCTCGCACATCGTATGGGGCAGACAGAAGCACGCTTATGCTTTTATATCGTTCCCTCGTCCGATCCAAACTGGATTATGCATGCTTTGTTTATGATGGCGCGTCTGAATCCAGCAAGCGTGTTCTTGATACCGTCCACCATACTGCCATTCGCATTGCTACTGGGGCGTTTCGCACATCACCTTCCGTCAGCCTTTTAACGGAGGCACACGAACCACCACTTTCGACGAGGAGGAAAATGCTTGGCATGCGTTATGCCTTGAAGCTGCGGCAGTTCCCACTTCACCCGAGATATTCTGCAATATTTTCGCGGTTTGCAGCAAGTTCTCTTCGTCATGGGCCGCAGCAGCACGCTTTAACTTTTGGTTCCCGAATGAGAGCGTTATTGCTTGAGAGCGGAATTCCTGTTCGGGGTGTAAGGCAAGTAAGCCGCCTGGCTTCTCCTCCTTGGCAAATGACCACACCCTTCATTGACACCTCGCTTACGGAAATTAGGAAAAAAGACGTCACACCACACCTATTGAGATCCAGGGCAGTTGAGCTTTTGGCGTGTTATGAAGGATATACCCTGACATACACAGACGGATCCAAAACCTCGGATGGCGTGGGTTGTGCTTTCGTTAGCGGGTCCGTCACTCGATCGTTCTCGTTACCGGCCCACTCGTCAGTTTTTACGGCGGAATTAGTTGCAATCACCAAGGCGATATGTTTCATCGAAGTGGGTGAAGAATCTTCACACGCCATCACACACAGATTCACTGAGCAGTCTCTCTGCACTGAAGTCTTTTTATCCATCATGTCCCCTTTTACAGGACATTTTATCACGCCTGACACAATTGAATCGGGTTGGAAAGAGAGTTGCACTATGCTGGATCCCTAGTCACGTCGGTATCGTGGGCAACGAACTGGCTGATGCCGCTGCTAAGCGAGCAGCGGTAGCACCATATACCCGGTTTTTGCCTATCCCTGCCAGAGATTTTTACCCGGCAGTCAAGACCTTCCTGAGAAGCAGATTGCAGCGCTGTTGGGACCAGGTGGGGGGCAATAAGCTCCGGGCAATAAAGACAGAGTTGGGCTTGTGGTCGTCATGCTCTCGCAGTGTGCGGTGGGAAGAGGTGGTTTTATGCAGGCTGCGCATTGGGCATACCTATGCCACCCATGGCCATCTGTTACATGGAGCCGACAGACCCCTATGCCAGCGGTGTGGTGCCGTCCTGACTGTCCATCATGTCATTATATCATGTCCATGCCTCTTCGAAGAACGACGACGTCACTTTGGTTCACAGGCTTCGACCCTGACGATAAACGATGTGCTTGGTGACAGTTCCTCCTTTCTTGGTCCCAAACAGCTCTTTTCGTTTTTAAAAGATATTGATTTTCAAGTCATTTTCACACCGTACTAATTAAGTAACAGCATAGTTATGGGCGCAAAATGACCATTGCAGTCGACGCGCCCGAAAACTCCAATGAACAACAAACAACAACTACATCCCACCCGTCCCTGCCTGTATCGAGCGGCCGGGCGTGTCGGGCGTGAAAGCATGTCTGAAGCGCAGCCCGGTCCATTCCAGGCATGACCTGCCAGTCTTGCGTGCGCAACATCGAGACGACGGTCGGCGACAACGCCGGCATCCACTCCATCGTCGTCTCGCTGCCGGACGAGAGCGCCACCGTGACCTTCGACCCGCAGCTGACCTCACCGCAAGGCATCTGGTGAGTACTGGCGGCGCCGCTGACCTCTGACCCGCCGATAACCTTGCTGGTGATATTCAATCCCCGTTTTTTATTCGTGTAGCGCGCTTCGCGTTAGATGATACTTGGACGAGTGGCCCGTGATTATGCATGCCGATAACAAGATAACATGCTCCCTTAACGTGTCGGGTCACGGACCAGGGTCAGCTTTTGCACGAATTTGTACTCTCCCTGCTTGAAATAAGACAGTTCACTCAGCAATACCACTACGACGCGGTATTTCCGGGACAAAATTATTTATAGTTGTGAACAGACGGGCATTTCGCTTTGTCGCGCTTGCGCCTGACTGTTCAGCCGGCTCTCCACGTGGGCGAGAGACTTCTGCGCCACACCGGCCTCTGCCAGCGGATGTTGTGTTTTCACTGTCGCGCAGTTCCGCTGTGGAAATGCTCTCCGGGCTGGCTTCCGGCCACTGGAGTTTCCACGTATCGGCTGGTGACCTGGGCTGTGATAGCGATCGCCCTCGTCACCGTGACCTTTGACCCGTCGGCGGTGTCGCGTATCAGCACCTGTGTGGACAGAGGGCATACCGTAGCGGTACTGTAGCCGTCGGCCGCGCGGGGGTGTCCACAGACGGCTGCTGATGGATTGGATGTTGTGGTGTGGGCTACGTGGGCAGCCAGCCGCATGATGTGGCGACGGGAAGGCCGGGATGGGTGGCAAGGACGCCGGCGTCATGCTTTGAACCCGCTCCTTACCATGCTGCTGCCTTGTGTGTTGTATCTGCTGCATCTGGCTCTCACGAATGAGGCCACATTGTCTGCCATTGTGGGGAGTCCGTGCGCGGGGCCCCTGGCGTCCGGACGCTATGTTCTTCACTTTTATGAGCGAGAGTGACTTCTCCGGTATTGAAATTGGGTATACCTTACGAACACGTCACAGATTGCATACTCGACGCAGTTTGTGACGTGTTCGCGTTGACACACGAAACAGTTACTGCTTTGGTAACGCTCACAAACGCCACAATTGGTCCGGGAACGAGCGCCGTTTTAGATGGCGGCGGCGTCATCTGAAGGGATCGAACAATACCCGCATGTCGTGGATTGATCGAGTGCAGGTCGTAGTGCTCCATTGCTGCATTGGTGCATTCGAACTGTATCCACAACCCACGGTAATCATTGCGGAGAAATTTCCCATCGTTCGCGATTGGCGCCGTCCGCTCCAGTGCACGTTCACACAGCTGGTGGGCCTCTCCGCGTCCGAGTCATCGCGCCGCGTCGAGGCGTGCTCACGCGCGAGTGTCCTGGAGCGCGCCAGCCCCTGAGACGGGAGAGTGCCGCACCGCCACTCAGGTTCCGCTTGGCGGGGCGGCGGCGGCGCGTTCAGCGGCAGGTCTTCAGAAACCGTCACGTCACGGCGTCACAATGGCGCGGCCGCCACAGCTGATTCTCGGGTCAGGCCCGTCCCCGCCGGGTGCCTTCAACCATGCGTCTGCCGAGGGTTTGCACCCGGCACCGCCGTCGCCGTCGATCGTACGTGCCGTGCGCACCGGTTGATCACAGCGCACGTCTCTGCCCCCAGGCGGCATTGGTATTGACGCACGGCACCGTGCGGTGTGCCAGGCGCAATGATCGCTTCCGGTGTATGATCGCTGGACGCTGCCAGCGTAGGTACTGTGCACCCGACACTGTCCTCTGTTGTGTACCGTGTGCACCCGTCGCTCAGCACGCCTGCAGGCGCTGTGTCGGCCTGCGTCTTTAACTGGGCTACGCCGTCGGCTGTGTGCCGTGTGCACTCACCGCCTGTTGCGACTCCGGCCGCTGCCAGTAACGCCTGTTTGCACCCGGCTATGCCGTCGTTTGTGTGCCGTGTGCACGGGTGTCCTGGCGAGTCTCCGCGGCATTCAACGTCGATTTTTGCGCCCGACACGACCGTTCACGAGCGCCCGGCGTCGGCAGACGCAGTGTCGGGTGCAGCCGGTGCGGCGTTTACAGAGGGGCCGTCACCTGGCTCGTCCCATGTCGCCCTGTCGCCGGTCTCACGCCGCCCCGCTGCGCCGGCACGATGGGACCGCGCCACCAGGCTCCTTCGTTGGGTCTGGCCCGGGCCAAGTCTGTACCGTAGGCCATGATAAACAGCTTTGCGGACAATCACTGATTGTTCTAGTGTTGTTCGTTCGTAGTTGCGTTTGCACAAATTAAAACTAGATCAACGAAAGCTGTTGTTTTCTGTCGGTGTGCTGCTTTACGAGCCCCGCTACATTAATCCATTAGCTAATGGACCACGACACGTTATTCGGCTGATTACAATCATTATAGTGTCACGGGTCGGTGGCATGGTGGTGTAAGATTTTATGCTAAGGTGACGCTTAGGAGTTTATGGTTGACGTTTAAGATTTATATTTAATATTTTAACGTTTAAGGTTTTATGGTTGAAGGTAGTGTTCTACATTTATATGGAGGTTTGAACTGAATAGCCATCTGGAAAACTTTCGGTGTTTTTCACAATTCTGCCTTTTAGTTTCTGGGCTACACGCCTGCAAAAATGGGAAGGGTATATCGGGGTGAGTATTTCAGTCACGTTGGTATTCACGACGTCATGATTCAAAGTCATTCAAGTCATTTAAATCCTGCCATTTCATAAGCCATGCGACGATCAAGGCCATGCATAAAATAATTGTCGAGATATTCATACGTGGCATTCGTGAGCGCGATTTCCAGATATAACGGCCATCAATTGGCTCTCAATAAGTGTTGCGTAAGGTGCGATGACGCAATCAAACCATGACGCATTGAGGGGCATATTTACTAAACAACTAAACAAAGAATGGTGCGATCTAGAACAATCTTTCACTTTAAAAAATTGTTAGATAATTAGTTACCGATAATTAGAAGTAGGCTGGTTTCATCACATCTGATGTGTGGACGGCCGCCACGTCGAAGACACCGAGGTTCCAGGTGCACTATATTCCATGACCGCCCATCGCCAACACCGCGCCTCGACTCCTCGTGGACGCTGACAGGGAAACAACGAAACCTCGGAAACGGACAGACAGACGTAGAACTAAACAGAGCGGAAACAGACAGAACAGAGACTAAAATTAGCAATACAAAATTAATACGAAAATAGCATGGATTGAATAACACTAAATTAGACCTCAAGATAGTGACAAACTTAGTGACTCAACAAACGAGAAGAGAGCACTAAATCAAACTAGAAATGCAAACGGTACATCGACTACAGATGCTTGCTTCAATGTCCTCAAAAGTGAAGCATTCCCTCTAAGTGACCACACCTGCGTGTCTCATGCTGTCCTGCAAGTGGCAGGACGGCAAAACGATGGACGGTCACTTCAATCCGACGATGTACAACGTAATCGCGACATCACAAACAAATTATTAGAGCAATGAATGGTGGCACTTCCTTTGATTACACTACGGTGTGTGCCCTTATTTACTGCCCCAGTGTGCTCAAACGGGACCGAGAAAGCGTCCGGCATGCGCTGGCAAAATGAAGCGTCTGAGTCTCTGAAACACCAGTCCACGCGTACTTTCTACGGCCGGGTTTAATTAAACGCACCGGCGCGTGTGAATCGCTGTGGGGCACAGCAGAGCACCTGTACCAGGGCAGACGTACACCAGACCCAGGTGTAAAGTTTCCAAACGTGCAACGCGATGCCTATGCTGCACGGGTGCAGTTTGTGTCTTTTGCCACACTGGGGCCTTCAGCTGAGCTGCCATCGCATAAGGCACTCGCTTGCAAAAATTTAAACCAGAACAAAGAATGCGCGAAGAAATGAATCCCGCAACGAATATGAGCGGTGCGTATGCGCAGGCAAGCTCCATGAAGTTGAAAATTGACGGTCTGTCTAACGTCGTGGTGCCGTCAGCCTGCGGTTTAGAAAGCCTGCGAAACGATCGGATGTGCCGTTTGTGAGTTTTTGCGATCATTTTTGCTTGCTTTTTTCACCGGGAATTCGCAAGCTTTGTATGTCTTATCATACACTAGTACGAGTTTTTCATGCGTTTTGTGGTCTATTGTGCCGCTCCTCTGACCTTGGGACATCTTAGGTGTCGTACTTAGCCCACCGACACCGTGCAAACTAACGTTTCCACCATGCACTGACATTCCACACGGTGAAAACTGATGTTTCGTAACGTGCAGACAGACATCTGGTCAGTTGGTTTGCGACAATCGGTATGCCGCTCCTACACATCGCGGAACGCGGGTCAGCGTGCCGCAACTTGGGAACTGGCGTGACGTCCGCGCGAGAGAGTGACGCGGACACTGACGTGCCGTCCACGCAAGAGAGTGACGCGGATACTGACGTGCCGTCCGTGCAAGAATGTTACGGACACTGACGTGCCGCCCGCACGGGAGAGTGGCGCGGACACTGACGTGCCGTCCACGCAAGACAGTGAGGCGGATACTGACGTGCCGTCCGCGCAAGAGAGTGAGGCGGACACTGACGTGCCGCCCTCACGAGAGAGTGACGCGGACACTGACGTTCCGTGCGCACAAGAGAGTAATGCGCACACTAGCGTGACGTCCGCGCGAGACGGTAGCGCGGACACTGACGTGCCGTCCGCACGAGAGAATGGCGCGGACACTGACGTGCCCCTCGCGCGAGAGAGTGACGCGGACAATGACGTTCCGTCTGCGCAAGGAAGTGGCGCGAACGCTGACGTTTCTTCCACGCGAGAAAGTGACGCGGACAGCTGTCGGCGGTCGTCGCCTTGTGCTGGTGTCGATCGATGGCTGCACGACCTCCGGGGGTCGCGACGGAGCGCGGGCCTTCGCCGCCGCCGACGCTGCCCGCTCGCGCCCTTAGTCGGTGTTGACGATTCGCCGGCAGCGGCGGCGGCGGAGTGGGGTCCCGATGACCCGCGGAAGGGGCCGGCGGGCCCGCGGGGACCGCGCCGCCCTGCTGACGGACCGGCCGGTCAGCTACGGCGCCCACAGGTACGGCGCCGAGCGGGCTGGCTGGCGGCCTCCGCCAGGCTGTCCTGGCCGGGCGCTGCTGAGGAAGTCAGATTGGGCTAATGTTGATGTCGGAGTTTAAGAGCAAGAGGAAGCGAAGAAGGGAGAGCCGCCGTTGCAATATTGATAGTGACTTTAGCTTGTATGCACTTACCTTTGTGCAGGTATTTGAAGCTTGTAGCCCAGCGTTCTTCACTAGAGAATGTTACGCACGTAGTTTAACGCTCGTTGTGTTGATGTTTTTTTCTCATAGGGGACATGTACGCTATTAAAGCTTGTGTGGCTGTTAAGGATTCTGAATGCCGGATGAACAGAGAAGTGTGACAGCTTTCGTGGGACTTCGCTAATACGCGTGCAGAAAACGATATTTAGGATGCTTCCTAAAAAGCATGTGGGCTTTTCTAAAGAAAAGAGCTATTCCGTGATACATATATATATATATATATATATATATATATATATATATATATATATATATATATATATATGTATATATATATATATATATAATTAAAATCCAATACTTCCAAAAATTGCTGAAGGCCGTCTTACCTCAATGACCCTGACTTGTAACCACAGCAACGCCAAGGTTGGAATCTGAACGTACCATTAAGAGCTGGGCTGATAACCCAATGATTCATAAAGTAATGAATGAAATGAGCGCTGAAATCTCCTCTATCGCTGTGCATATTTGAAGTTCTTTTAGCTGTCAACGAAACTGGACTCAGTGCTTTATCGAGGACCGGTTCGCTTCCCTGAATAACGGTAACTACCAAAGGTGTTTTATATCTAGTAAAGCTTGGCCCGCACGGCGGTCGGTGGGGGTTCAGCGGGAGGAGGCGAGCGTTACTGGAGTTGAGCTGAGCTGAGCTGAGCTGAGCTGAGCTGAGCTGAGCTGAGCTGAGCTGAGCTGAACTGAGCTGAGATGAGATGAGCTGAGCTGAGCTGAGCTGAGGAGCCGAGCTAAACTGAGCTGAGCTGAGCTGAGCTGAGCTGAGCTGAGCTGAGCTGAACTGAACTGAGCTGAGCGTTGCGTCAACCTGCGCAGCCCGGCGCGCCGATTTACGTTGAGTGATGTGTGGGGGTGACGTACCGCCCGCGGCAAACCAACGCCGCGCATCGGCTTGTATGGTGCGGAGCGTCAGGCGGCCTGGCGCGAAGTGTCAGCTGGCTTCGTGCGAAATGTCAGTAGGGAATGATGCAACGCGTGCATCCGCCTCCGGAAGTCACTATATTGTCGTTGCAGTTTTAAGCTGTTCGTGTAGCGGTGTACGTGTTGGCTTACGTAATGTTTGTCACATCTCTTTCCTTAACGTTGCTCGAGTGGTTCGTCTAGTCGGCCGTTTGTTTGCCCGTCACATATGCAATCGCAGCGCATGTGTCGAGCGCGACTGATAAAACCTCATTCGCACAGTCCCCCTAAAATGTCGCATCCTCTGAAGGTTTTGCCAGTTTCCCTCGCCCAGCCGTGACCACATCAGCACCGTATCTCCGAGCCGCACTGATAAGGGCCGGGAGGCGGGAGGCGGCGACCGCGCCGGCCCGGCCGGCCGCCGTCACGTGCAGCCAGTCGGCTGCCGGAGCAGCGGCACGTCACGCCCGGCCGGCGGCGACGGTGGCAGCGGCTCGCTCCGTCTGCACGCGGCGTCAGTGTACCGTTGTTGGGCGCGGGGAGGTGACGCGGCGCGATGGTGCGCTCCAAATACGTGCGGCTGCGGCCGACCAGGTGAGGCTGCGGCGCTGTCGGGACGACACGGACGCCACCGTCGGCTGACGCGGCCGCCGTTGTCGGATGACACGGGCGCCGTTATCAGACGACACGGGCGCCATTGTCGGACGACCGGGCGCCGTTGTCGGACGATACGGGCACTGTTGTCGGACGACACGGGCACTGTTGTCGAACGACACGGGCGCCGCTGTCGGACGACACAGGCACCGTTGTCGGACGACACGGGCGCCGTTGTCGGACGACACTGCATGAGCGGATAGTGAGCAGATGGCTCGGTTCCCAGCGGTCTTGTGGTTGGTCTCAGCCGTCGTGTGAGGGCTCTGCGGCTGCCTGCATCCAGACGCCGTACGGGGCTGACTCGTCTGCTTGGCCGCGAGCGGGCCGGCCTGCTTGACGGGTAAAGCCGGCCAGCTTCGTGTCCCGGAGCCTGGGATTTCCTCTCCGTGACCGGTTTCTGAGGGTGCTGCATATTGGCTTAAGACGGGGTCCGCGTACCAGCGCCTGGCCAGTTCGTTGGAAGCTCTGAGCGATCTAACACAGAGTGAGGATCGGTTCGACCCTTCGAAAGTACAATTAAACTGGGTGACTCTCAGACATGTCAGTTGGTCCAACAGCGCTAATCAGCATATGTTTTTACTTAGATGTTGTACTGAGCCACGCACAACGGTTCTTGCATTATTGGCGCCATCATCTTGGCCTGCCACCAGTGGAGCAAAGCTGCTCCTCATCGCTGCCTCCTTACGAAATGCTCGATTATTTCAAGTCGTTGAATGACGCTCTCCATGCTGTTGAGTCATGGTCCACGGGTTTTCAGTGCTATTTCCCATGGCCTGCCCCACGCGCGTCACAACTTCCTGGTCAGGTCCAAGATGGAGGGCATGCAGCTGCGTCGGCGCGAAAAATACTCGTTTTCGAGCTAAGTGGTGTTATTCCCGTTTACACTGCGTATTGGACAGGCCACATATTCACTAAAAGAGCGGACTGAGAACGTACATCGCCATTGGCGGTAACGGTTACATGTGATTAAATGAGAGCATGGTTGCTGCTGTTTCATTTGCCCGTGGCGGGTCTGCTTCAAATCGGGGTGTCATTGCACAGGAGACGCGCGGGCAGGCTCGTGCTCGAACCCGCTCCAGCTGAGTCGCATGGCGATGGGCTGGTTTCAAGCAAATACGGTGGACTGAATCCCACTCGGTCTGACGGAAGGAAGTCGTTCCATTCTGACTCGGTTGGAGTTTTGCTGATTCCAGGCTCGGCTGCTCCCTCCGTGGGTCAGGCACGAGCCGGCTGTAGGGACTGTGTAAAGTAGACCGCGTTTAAGTCGTGAACGTTTCCTTTGTAATTTAGACTGCAAAACCGGTTACCAACGCACGGCATCTTCTTATCGTCATACCTTCCTGTGACGTAGAGGGACAAAATTACCCGGAAATCGATCGTGTACAGGCGATGGCGATCTGACGATAGTTTGGACTTACGGCCGCTTCAGGTACTTGGTTACTTGGCGGTTCATACAGGCATGCCTTGCCGGGCGCTGCGTAGTATAGGCAACGATCATACGTTTTTTTGCTATTGTTCTAATAGATCATCATCCTTGAATGTCGGTATCAGGCCGGCCCGTCCACGAGGCGTCCGGACTGACCTTCGCGGCAGTGCTGTGGCATGTCGTTGCCCGCTGAGTGATCTACACCCCAGCGTCGGTGGGGTTCAGCAGCCGGCCGGGAGCCGGTGATCCCGGCCCGGCTGCAGTCGGGACGGGACGAGCGACGCCTGCCGTCCCCGGCTGCCTCTGTCTGCAGCGGTGCGCTGGCCGCCGGACGGGTTCGCCTTGTCGTGCCTGCAGAACGGGCGCGGCGATGGCGGAGCTGGCGACAACAGCCCTTGACACCGGCCGGAGGCAGCGGCCGGGATCAACGGCCGGGGGCGCGGGTGTACCGTACAGCAGCGCCGGGTGCTGCTCCTCATCGCCAGTATTCCCCAGTAACATCGCTCTCTCCATGCTGCAACGACCCTGGACTGTCACACCGCCGTCGCCGGCGCTTTCCTGACGCCCGCCTCCCTCTCCCGACAGTGACATGATCGACGACATGGGCTTCGACGCGTCGCTGCCGGCGGCGGCCGGCGGCGGCGGCGACGGCGCGGGCGACGGAGCCTCGCGCACAGTCGTGCTCGACATCGGCGGCATGACGTGCCAGTCGTGTGTGCGCAACATCGAGGCGACGGTCGGCGGCCGGCCGGGCGTGCGCGCCGTGCGCGTTGACCTGGCGGCGGCGCGCGGCTGGCTGGAGGTGGCGCCCGAGCTCGCCGACCAGCAGCTGATCGACTGGGTGGAGGAGATGGGCTTCGAGGCGCGCCTGGCCGCCGAGCTGCAGTGCCGCCTGGCCATCGAGAACATGAGCTGCCAGTCGTGCGTGCGGAACATCGAGGGCAAGGTGGCCGCCCAGCCGGGGGTGCTCGGCGTCAAGGTGGGTGCGACGGCGCCTGGTGGTGGCCGCCGTGGCGTCCGGAGAAGGTGCGGCGGCGGCAGCAGCGCCCGGCATCTGTCTGTGCGCGTCCGATGTGTGCCGACTCAACACTGAAGTGCGCAATGACCCGGGAGGGGAGTGTCATGCGCCAGATCATAGAGAGCCTAGCCTTATTTGAAAGTTAAGAATGTGCGTGAATCATGCCTGAACGTTTTGTCATACACGTTAGAAACTTTTTCGAGCGTTCCAGAGGAACCACTGGATGCAGTTAGAGACCTAAGAACCCGTTTCCTCATGCGTAGTCTGATCATTGTTCAAGCACATTGGATTGTTCCATTAGCGTCCCGTAATGACGAGCCAGGCCACTTGCTGGCGAGTCCAGCTTCAAGCAGCGCAACAAATATAACCCCTAGTGACCTGACCGGCCCAACGGCAGCGCCTTCCTACAGACGTCAATTATTCACAGCCGTTGGCCTTGGAGTGACAAGGGCGTTTGATCATCACAAAACACGTTACTGATCTTAACTTACCGCGCGTTGCTGGGATGCTTCAAAACACGTAAGTGGGGTTCGCGTAACGTCGCCGTGCCGCGACCAGACCCTGAACTAAATTCCCGCCGCCATGAATCAGCCGGGAAAGCCGGGAATCCACGGCTCGACAGTCGTGAGCATCGAACAAAAAATATTCTAGGCAGAGCGACGCTGCCCGCTGTCCCGTACGTGGTCTGGGCGCAGATGCACGTGCTCAGTGATCGTCACATGCCCGGGCGCGCCAGTGCCGCCATTTGAGCGGCGCTGATGGAAATGTCTGCGCTTCATATCGCCGGCTAGTCTGCGCCCGCGCTCCTCGGTATGAGGGACGCTGCCGGGACGGATATGGGTGGCGCCGGCCGGAGGGGAGGGGGCCTGGACCGGCTGCAGCGCGGCGCCGGCCCGGCCGCCACGCTCCCAGATACCGTGCCTTTCTCCGGTGTCGCCAGAGGAACGTCACGGCCAGGAGGAGCTGCCCGTCTCGTTCCTCTCTATGTCATGGGTCGTGTGGTGGGGTTGTCCAGATGGGGCCGTTCCCACGCCAAACGTCGACGCCACAGCGGCTGCTGCCGGTGGTCGATGTTGCGATGCTCCCCGCGTGCCGGGAGTGTTCCCGTTTTGCGAGCTGTGCCCCCTGGCGGGACCGCCGTCTGCGAGCAGTGATGACGTGTGGACCTGCCAGCGTTTGGCCATTCCGCCGATGTGCCGCCATCAGCGGCCGCTCGCTCTGAAGGGACGTCGCCAGCACCTCGCTCGATCAGGTACTCGGATTGACGCGCATTCTCGTTCCGCAGGTGGACCTGGAGGCCAAGGAGGGCGTCATCACCTACAACCCGCAGGTCACTTCTCCCGGCACGCTGGAGGACTTCGTCAACGGCATCGGGAAGTTCAGGGCCGCCGTGAAGCCACCGTCGGATGGATCTTCCACAGGTCTGCATGACTGACGTGCTATCGAGGAATGGTAACGATCTTGTCTTGGCTTGGCTTGGTTGGTGTATTCCACGTTCGTTCCCAGCCAGTGGTCTTTGTCGTTGAGCTGGGATGTGGACCCTCGTTTTTACAGTGAAGGATTTTCTAACATGAAAGGATCAAGTTTGGCTGGGGAACTATGCAGAGTTTTGTCGTTACTTGTTTAACTTCCGACATCTTTTTACGGAAACGTGTGCCCGCAGCTGTTGTAGATGGTATGCCTGCCAGCGTTCGGTGCCTTCGGTCGGCAAACATATCTACACTTGACTGGTCAGAGTAGACATAGGACCGTCCTCATGTCCATCTGCGTGTCGCTGCCTTGTCAGCCACATTATCTTGGCCACTCCCCCCGATTCCGGTGGCGGTCGCACGGCTTAGTGGGCCCTTCGTCCCCAGGGCCCGTGGACGGCTGCCTCACACCTCTGCGCGTCCCCAGGGCCCGTGGACGGCCGCCTCACACCTCTGCACATCCCCAGGGCCCGTGGACGGCCGCCTCACACCTCTGCGCGTCCCCAGGGCCCGTGGACAGTCGTCTGACACCTCTGCGCGTCCCCAGGGCCCATGGATGGCCAGCGACCGTCTGACACCTCTGCGCGTCCCCAGGACCCGCGCAGGACAAGCCGGACGGCCGGTCGGACTCGCCGCCGCGGCAGGCGCCGCTCTCGGCCCGCGCGCCGGGCGAGTCGCCGCGCTCGCCGCCGAAGCCGCCGCGCTCGCCGCAGAGCGCCACCCGTAGCCCGGAGAAGACGCCCGTCAGTCCAGGGAAGTCAACACGCTCGGCGGCCGACGAGCTGGAGACGTGCACCGTCTCCATCCGCGGCATGACGTGCGCCAGCTGCGTCAGCGCCATCGAGAAGCACATGAACAAGGTGGACGGTGAGTACGGCTGCGACTGTGTGCCGGGAGCGGGCGCGGGCGCGGGCGTGGGGTCGGGTTTCATGAGGTGCGGCTGGTTGGGAGACTGGTGCGTAACCGAATCAATAAAGTGCGCTTGTGGCCGTGTGCACATTGCGCTGAAGAAGGCGCAGTGACGAAACTTTTGACTCGTAATTTGTTGTAGGTGCGGGAAGGCGCAACGTTTTGTGTTTGGCTTCTCGAACAATAAGGAACCCCGCAACGGTAGGGTCAACATGCCAGCATCACAAGCTCAGCCTGGTGGCTTGGGCGTCCGTCGGCTCAAGGAATCCCCTCCCGTTCCTCTCTTCGCACTGTTGGCATTCAGTCGCACCGTGGTACCGTTTGGGCGTAGGTCGAAGGGTAGGGGAAGCCACCTCTCCAGTGCGCAAACAGTGGCTCGTTCCCATGCTGACCCGCCGTGTGACCATTGTGGTCGGTGCGCCCGAAGCTCGTGCTGACCGCCCCCCGCGCGGCCACAGGTGTGGAATCGATCCTGGTGGCGCTGCTGGCTGGCAAAGCCGAGGTGCAGTACGACCCGGCCGTGCTGCTGCCCTCGCAGGTGGCCGGCCTCATCTCCGACATTGGCTTCCCGGCCCAGCTGCTGGAGAACCACAGCCCGGAGGGCACGCTCGACCTCGAGGTAGGCGGCGTGGCGGCACGGCACGCGGTGGCACACGCTCGTGCACGGAGTTCAGTTCAGTTCAGTTCAGTTCAGTTCAGTTTATTGCGGTTACATCCTGAAATACCTTCAGGCATTTCCACGCCCACGCCCACGCCCAAGCGGCGCGGGCGTGGACGTGGGCGTGGGCGCGGGCACGAGTGTGGGAGAGCGCGCTGAGTTGGCGGCGAACGCCGATCACGGATGAAGCTCATTTCCCTGATGAAGGTGCTGTCAGCGAAGATATTCAGCACGAGTGCTGCATGAAAAGCCGTCCCTTGATTCGACACAAATTGGGAGCGTTTGTGTTCGGTTACGGCTGGCCGCCGACCCGCCGCCGTGGCGCGCGTCAGCTGGCAGCAGCCCGGATGTGTACCCCGTCACCCGGACCACCCCTGACCCCGGGCCGGCAGATCCGCGGGATGACCTGCGCCTCGTGCGTGCACACGATCGAGACGAACGTGGTGCGGCGGCCGGGCGTGGTGTCCGTGTCGGTGGCGCTGGCGACGGAGCGCGGACGGGTCGTGTTCGACCCGGGCCAGACGGGGCCGCGAGACATCATCCAGGCGATCGAGGTGAGACGACGGCGGCGGTGGGCGGTGGCGGGGCCAGCACCGGCCAGCGGGTCCTGTTGACAAGTGTGGCAGGGCGCTGGATTGGTCGGTGGTGCGCGACCCGCGGGAAGTGCAGGGCGAGTGGCGAGCGGAGCTGGGTGGCGGTGGAGTGACTCGGGCTGGGTGGTGGTGTGGGCCGACTCAGTGTGAGCGCTCGGATTTGCCAGTTGTCCGTTACCCTCATGTTCCTTCGGAGACTCCGGGCAGGGACAGCCCGCTGCGGCCCACCGCGCTGAGGTACAGACATGTTCGAAGATAGACCGACAGCTATCTAGAACTACTTAAAAACACGATAATTCCCGCGGAGTATTTCTAATCATTTTGCGATACAAAACAGGCGTCGCAGCGAGCCGTCGTAAGAACGGCAGGTGCTGAGGCACCAGTGGTGTCAGGAGTGACATGTCGGTACTGCCCTGTTGCCTCGGCTTTGTTCGTAATCCCGCCACAGATGGTGAGGTTTTCAGGGGTGTCGGTTTGTCGTGCCGACTGCACAGCCGGCCGCAGGTGGCGTGCTGTCCCGGGGCGTAGCGCCGTGTCACCACCGCCTATGATGTCCTGCTGACGGGCTGAGCAGCACTGCACGCCCATTGTGAAGGACATGATGTAGTGCTGGCCGTGTTCAGCCGGCCGTGGAGTGTTGTCCGGGGTTGCCCCGGGACGTATGGCTGACCTGTGTTGGCACGAGCTGGGTGTGCGGGGCGCCGAGCGCTCCGGTCCGTCAGCTGCCTTCTCCGCTCCCCCGCCGCCTGATGATCGTCCAAACTCAAGGGACTTGTTGACGTTATGCCCGGCTGGCCAACGGCGCCCGCCTGTGGCCGCTTGAAGCAGCAGTAGGGTCCCTCTCTCAACACACCACGACGCAACCGCGCTGCTTGTATCTGCAATGCAGTAGAATGCAACGGCTTTGTCTGCCCTCTGGCCAGGACCTGGGCTTCGAGGCGGCGCTCCGCTCGGGCAAGCAGGGCAGCGCGTCGTACCTGGACCACCGCGAGGAGATCGCCAAGTGGCGCAACTCGTTCCTGGTGTCGCTGTTCTTCGGCGTGCCGTGCATGCTCATCATGGTGTTCTTCATGGTGCGCATGCGCCGGCTCGGCCATGGTAGCATGTGCTGCGTGGTGCCCGGCCTCTCCATGGAGAACCTGCTCATGTTCATCCTTTCGACGCCGGTGCAGGTGAGGGCGGGGTCGCGTGGCCTCGCCGGCTGGGTTGGACCGGGGTGCGGGCGGCGACGGGCGGATTTTGACCGGTTTCGTGGTGGGCTCCGGAGTGAAGGGAGGCGCTGGTGTATATTGATCTGCTTGGGCGGTTTTAGGCGTCCACATTCAGTCCAAATAAATATGTTTTTGCTCGGATCTACGTGGCTTCGAGTGTCTGGCCCGTCCCGTATGGGTTACCATCTCGTGTATGCCGTTTGTTTTGGGCGTCGGCGCTGGATCTACCCAAGCGTGTTTCATTTGCACATGCTCGCCGAGTCGAACACTCCCGGCCTTCAGCCCACGCTTATGGACCAATGCTGCTGCAGACACTGAATAAAGCACCCGTACGGCCTTGCTGTATCCTGCTCCCCGCCACAGGAGCCCATTTCCATCCCTGTCGCATGCCGCCGTGCCTGACGGCGTGCTCGTGCGGCGCTGACGCCCCGCCTCGCCCCCAGTTTATCGGCGGCCGGCACTTCTACGTGGCGGCGGTGAAGTCGCTGCGCCACGGCGCCGCCTCCATGGACGTGCTCATCATGCTGGCCACGACCGTGTCGTACGTGTACTCGGTGGCCGTGGTGGTGGCGGCCATGCTGCTGCAGGAGTCGGCGAGCCCGCTTACCTTCTTCGACACGCCGCCGATGCTGCTGGTGTTCGTCTCGCTGGGCCGGTGGCTCGAGCACATTGCTAAGGTGGCCGCGCGAGGTCGGCGCTGTTAGGGTGCGCGCGTTGCATGGGTTGTGGCGGCTGGGGCTGTCAGAGGGGGGGGGGGGGGGGGCGATGGTGGTGGTCAAGTCCTGTATAGGGTGGAGCGTCGACGCTGTGGATAATGGGCACGACGACCGGTAGGGGAGGATTGTGGGATGAATTATGAGATTTACGCCTGGTGGTAGTCATACTTGTGGTTTCAGTGGATTGTAGTATTAGTAGGTGATTTTTGCAATCACGTTATGCTGTGGTTTGTGGTAGTGGCGGCTGCTCCCATGCATGCAATGCGGTGATCGTTCTCTCCCAGATTTTCTGCCCGTTCACATAATCTCATAAAATTGTAGATGCCGCTGCCGTCGCCGTCCTTTTTGGACGCACCTTCCGTTCAGCCGCTGTATCCGTTCCTCACCATCCGCGACCATTGACGCTGCTCGGCGGTTTCCATTCCCCGTGCACCCGAACACCACATGCACGGACATCGCGCGCTCACCCTCAGGGCAAGACGTCTGAGGCGCTGGCCAAGCTGATCTCGCTGCAGCCCACTGAGGCGGTGCTGGTGACGCTGGGGGAGAACAGGGAGGTGCTCACAGAGGACAGCATCTCCGTCGAGCTGGTGCACCGCGGCGACATCCTCAAGGTCGGCAGCGATGCTACCACGCTGATGGCAGCGGAGCTTCTCGTTGGCGAGACATGAAACGACGCGTTGCGTGTCACTGGGAGGAGACAATGCGATTTGCAAGCGGCTGACACCATGAAAGCCCGTCGGACGACGGCTGCAGCGGTGCCTGTGTGCAGCGGGCCTGACTGTGGTGTGTCCGCCAGATGGTGCCCGGCTCCAAGGTGCCGGTGGACGGCCGTGTCCTCAGCGGCGGGCCTGACTGTGGTGTGTCCGCCAGGTGGTGCCCGGCGCCAAGGTGCCGGTGGACGGCCGTGTCCTCAGTGGCCACTCCCTGTGCGACGAGTCCCTCATCACCGGCGAGTCCATGCCCGTCGCCAAGAAGCCAGGTCAGTGCCGGCCGCTCCAGCCGGGGCGAGGCGTTCGCGGGGGGGGGGGGGGGAGTGCTCTGAGGCTAAGCATGGGCACGGCGATGGAGGGACCTTTTGCTCGGTCAGTTGGAGAGGACGCTTGGGCGGCTTGTCTGAGCTGGCCTGACCTCGGCCCGTGCGATGCGCACGCCGGGCGGCGTCGCGGCGTCCTGTGCTGTTCGTGTGTGCATCGTATCGGGATTGCTCTCTGTGTTGCTGGTGTGTTTGACCAGTGTCTACTTTGATACAGCCCAGCTTGTTTGTGTAGCTCTTCTGAAGGGCCGTGCTTGAACCATGTTGACCCTTTCGCCACGTTTGTCATCCGCTGACAGGGGCTACAATAGCGCGACCATCGACCTGATCTGGGACTCAGGGACCTTCAGTCGTACCCAGATGGGCGGCCCGCTATCAGCCTTGGTTGCCTTAGCTCGTGGTCCGCTGGCCAGCGTGCCCCTCCATGAGGCCCTGCCCTGCCCTGCCCTGCCCTGCCCTGCTAAAACCTGCGTCTGACGCCGTGTCCGGCAGGCTCGCAGCTGATCGGCGGCGCCATCAACCAGAACGGCACCCTGTTGATGACTGTGACGCACGTGGGCCAGGACACGACCTTGGCGCAGATCGTGCAGCTGGTGGAGGAGGCGCAAACCAGCAAGGCGCCCATCCAGCAGCTGGCCGACCGCGTGGCAGGTCGGTCGACGGTCTACACCTCCGCCCGGACCATCCTGAACCGCGCCGACCCTCCGTGCTCTCCTTCGTCCGTGCACTGGCACAGCGGCCGGCGCCTGGCCGTCTGGGCGGCAGCAGGTGGTCGCGCCTCTCCTCTGTCGTTGCCCTCGCGACTCCACCGCGTACCGGTCCAGCTGCCAGCGGCCGGCCAGCGCGGCGGAAGGCAGGCTGGGTTAGCAACGGACCTCTGCACAGCCCCTTCGCCCCCCCCCCCCCCCCCACAGCGCCCACCTCGCCCGTGCGCTGGCCTAGCTGGTGTGCCCAGCGCGCATGGAGCGCTGTTCACGTGTTAAGCTATGAAGAAGGAGTCGCACTCGTGAAGTGTGCTCGCTCCTCGCTGTGGGAATTTTTCGACTGGACCAGTCGTTACGATTGCCGCTGAATAACTCGGTTTGGAGCGCTGTTTGGCTGCCATGGGTTTGCACAAACTGGCGAGTGTCAGACTGTGCCTCGGATAGCGCAGGCTGGTCCTTCTGAACGGTGGGGCGGAGCCGCTAACGAGCTTTCCCGGTCCCATGGCAGGTTACTTCATCCCGATCGTGGTGTCCGTCTCGGTGACGACCCTGATCGGCTGGACCATCGCCGGATACGTCAACATCCACTACATCGACCCCCACTTCAACGTAAGCGCTCGTATGCCCGTCGCAAGTGTAATCAGCGGCGGACGGTGCAGGGTTCGAGCGCTGGATACCGGCCGGCTTTGAATCAGAGCTGGCCGAAAATCCCCCTCGAGTTTGATCAGTGCTGTTTACGTTGCGCTGGGGGTGGTTGTATCTCTAACGCCGGCTGATTGTGTGAAATTTTCTGCGGGTCTGTGTGCGATTCTCTAAAAAATCAACAGATGTTCAATACAATATGGCTGTCATTAATGCTGGTGGCCGTCAAAGTCAGCCCATAATCCTGTGTTGATGTGCTCTCCCTATCGCTACAGCGCTCCCAGGCCACTCGAACCCAGTCACCGACCGCCACGCAGGGCAGTCCGCCGTCTGTCCCGCTCCACACCCGCATGGTCATTTCTCGCGGTGCGGGGCTGACATCACCGGCGCGACCTCCGGCCGGCAGGGCACCTCGGTGCACGGCGAGACGCGCGACGAGGTCATCTTCCAGTTCTCGTTCCGGTTCGCGCTGACTGTGCTGGCGATCGCGTGTCCGTGCGCGCTGGGCCTGGCCACGCCCACCGCCGTCATGGTGGGCACCGGCGTCGGCGCGCTCAACGGCATCCTCATCAAGGGCGCGGAGGCGCTGGAGAACGCGCACAAGGTGGGCCGACGGCGCGGGCGCCGGTGGAGGGGTGCTGGACAGGGCAGCGGGCCGGGCCGGGTGTAGTGAGGATGGAGGGGGCGATGGGCTGGGCCGGGGGTGGCACCGGTCGTGTCAGGTACGTATTGTGGGCCCCGGGGAGAGGGGTCGGCGGGGCCGGGTGTGGCACTGGGGGAGGAGGAGGCGGGCTGGGCCGAGTGTGGCGCCGACGGAGGGGGCGGTGGGCTGGGCCGGGTGTGGCCCCGATCCCGCCAGGTGCGCAGTGCGGTGTTCGACATGTCCGTCTGTTGTCCGTCTGATGTGGTGTTTCTCCGCCCGTCCGCCAGGTGCGCAGTGTGGTCTTCGACAAGACCGGCACCATCACGCGCGGCCTGCCGTCTCTGACCCACCTGGCGGTGTACGTGGACGAGGTCACCTGCCCGCTGGCCCGGCTGCTGGCGCTGCTCGCCTCAGCGGAGGCCAGCAGCGAGCACCCCATCGCGCACGGTGAGAGGGGCGCGGTGACGACACGAGGAGAAGAAGAAGAAGAAGAAGATGCTTGAGGGGGGAGATCCCGCGACTGTGGCTGGCTGAGTAGTGTGCTGCGACCAGCACTGTCTTGCCGACGGGGGAAATGTTGTGTGGCGTTCGTTTCCTCTCTCGATTCTATCCAATGGCTCACAGTTGGGTTTATGACATACCGGACTTGATGCAGATTTGACTACATCGTGTCACTGTCATATTGACGTGTTTTGCACGTGCGCTTGCGATTCGGCTGACACATCAGGCATTTCCAGCATGGGTGTACATTGTCCGTTACCCTGAATCCGGCCAGCACCGTCCGTCAATGAACGTCTACGTAATAACATCTACTACCAACCATCCAACGTGGAATGGCGACACTGACAATTCTGGCCACAGTCGGAGACCCTTATGACATTTGATGTGTCATGTCCGTATATTTATGGGTGTTGTAGAGCATTTCGATTTCCGGGGTTATTTGGACGCAAGCTTTTTTAATGGCATAAAAACACGACACAGGGTTATAATCGACTTTAGCGACACTCGTTAAGCGTTCAATTCAGTAGTGACAAATTTGTACCGACGAGGCGCGAAAAGAAGACATTCGGCCCAGTAATCGTTAGATTTTCGTTTTCCATCTTCGGGTGGAATGTAAGACCCGTCGCGCCCCCGGCGATGAGGTGCAGATCACTGACCGAACCCCAGTCGAGTGACATGAGGTCCCGGGCTCCGGTCGAGGTCACAGGAGGCGTACAGCGCTGTCGGCAGGTCGCTGCTGCCAGTGTCTGCTCGTTCTGGGACGGCCGCCGCCGGTGTCTGCTCACCTCTTGGGCGCGCGACCGAACAAGCCGAAGGAGGGGGAGGGGGAAGGGGTACGCACTAGAGGAGCCGGGACCCGAAACGGACGTAACCTCGCTGCAGAGAAACGCAGGGAAATGCACCTCCAAGGTGCTCCTTGCCGTCACTCGTAAGGCCGCGCCCACCTGCTCCGCGCTCGGCCTTCGCCCGCCCCCGGACCACGCGGTAACGCGGACCCCGGCCTGACCATCCGCGTGCCTGCAGCGATCGTGCGCTTCGTCAAGGAGACGCTGTCGGTGGACGCGCTGGGCACCTGCGACGGCTTCCAGGCGGTGTCCGGCTTCGGCGTCAGCTGCGTCGTCTCTAACATCGACGTTCTGGTAGCCGCCGGCCAGAGAGCCGAGTCCGTCACCAACTTGCTGAACCAGCTCTCGCCGCCGACCGGGTACGTGGCTCGTCGGGGCCATGGGAGCAGCTGATGTGGTTTCTGGACGGGCGTTGCGTTGCTTTCGGCCAACCTCTGGCCAGTTAGCCGTCAGCTGTCCAAACTGTGGTCATCAGGTCATCGCACGTCAGGAACTGTACTTCTGTTTTTGTTTTTTTTTGGTGATGATGCGGTGTCAAGAAGTTGTTCGCTGACATGCCAAAGGTGATTATCAGGGGGCCCAGGCATCCTGTTCGTCGTTCGGGCGTGGCCTCACGTGACCCCGGCGGGCGCCTGTGTCGCCAGCTACCAGTACCGGCCGGCGAGCAAGGCGGCGCTGACCCTGCACGAGGCGACGGTGGAGTTCCTGCCGGAGGTGGGCGCCGCCCGGCCGCCGGCCGACGACCTGCTCGACCTGAACGCGGCGCAGAAGCGCGAGTACAAGGTCAGTGAGGTGCTCACCTGGCCGCGTGGCTCCGCCACCAGTGCCAGCTGGGCTGTAAACGTGGCTGCGCTGACATGAACAGCTGAAAAAGTGAGTTTGCGCCTTACGACCCTGGCTGATACTCGGTGGAGCGTCTGCATTAAGTTGTTCAGTGCATTAGCGAGGAATAGATAGGACATTAGTATAGGGCTTACGCTACTGTCTTATCTATGTGAGCGTCTGTAGTGTCTGTGTCTCCCGTCGTGGCCGCCGCCCCGCTGTCGCTGGCGTCGGCGCTGCCCGTCCGTCGGTCTGACGTCACTGTCGCGGGCCCGGCCGCCGTTCTGACGTCACTGTCGCGGGCCCGTCCGCCGGTCTGTTGTCACCGTTGCGGGCCGGGCTGCCGGTCTGATCTCACCGTGGCGGGTCGGGCCCCCGGTCTGACGTCACCGTGGCGGGTCGGGCCGCCGGTCTGACGTCACTGTCCCGGGCCGGGCCGCCAGGTGCTGATCGGAAACCGCGAATGGATGCGCCAAAACGGCATGGAGGTGCCGGCGGCCGTCGACGCCGGCATGCGGGACCAGGAAGAGCGCGGCCGCACCGCCATCCTGTGCGCCGTCGACGGTCAGTGACTGCGCGGTGGGAGAGGGAAGGAGGGGGGGGGGGGGGGCGTGTTTGCTCGGCTGTGTCGATGTTGATGCGGGATGTGATGTTGGGATGCGGATGTTGGGCGTTAGTGGCGACGGTGAGGGTGGTTGGGTGAGTCTCGGGTGCCTGTGTCTGAACCTCGGTGGCGGTGGTGATGGGGGCGTTTATTGTTTAGTTTAGTGTTTAGTCAGTTAGTTTTAGTGTTTAGTAGTAGTTAGTCTAGTGTTTAGTAGTTTCTGCGCCGGTTAGTGCGTGCCTGGCGCTCACCTGGTGGCGGACCCTGAACGTCCGCGCCGGGGACTGGATGTCACAGGACGGTGTAAGGACCCGATCGCAGCCGTCCCCATGGTGTGGGCGGTGCCCCCACCCCGACGGTCCGTGCTGTGACGCTCCCCGCCGCGGTGGTCAGTGAGCCACTCGGGCTCCGTTTGCCGGATTACTGCTGGTGGGGGCTCAGTCGCCGCTGTGGGGAACGCCGTCGACCTGATCGACCGACGCCTAGTCGTCTTGCGTTTTGTCTATCGCGTCGTTTGCATCGGACACTCATGCGAGATTTACATCATGGTACTCTGGAGGCAGGAAAGGACCCATTGGCCGTACAGTCCGGACGAACTCACTGGACCGGCCTATTGGGCCGGCCGTCCTCGCTGTTGCCGCCGCCCTAGCCAGTCAGCTCCGACCGAGCGCCCCTATCCCCTGCCGCCCACGCGCCGGTCTCACCGCTAACCCGCTTCAGGGACCCCCGTCTGACCACTGATACCACGTCCTCTGACCTCAGGCGTGCCGTGACCTGACCACGTCCTCTGACCTCAGGCGTGCCGTGACCTGACCATGTCCTCCGACCTCAGGCGTGCCGTGACCTGACCACGCCCTCTGACCTCAGGCGTGCCGTAGCCTGACCACGTCCTCCGACCTCAGGCGTGTCGTGACCTGACCACGTCCTCTGACCTCAGGCGTGCCGTGACCTGACCACGTCCTCCGACCTCAGGCGTGCCGTAGCCTGACCACGTCCTCCGACCTCAGGCGTGTCGTGACCTGACCACGTCCTCTGACCTCAGGCGTGCCGTGACCTGACCACGCCCTCTGACCTCAGGCGTGCCGTAGCCTGACCACGTCCTCCGACCTCAGGCGTGTCGTGACCTGACCACGTCCTGTGACCTCAGGCATGCCGTGACCTGACCACGTCCTCCGACCTCAGGCGTGCCGTGACCTGACCACGTCCTGTGACCTCAGGCGTGCCGTGACCTGACCATTTCCTCCGACCTCAGGCGTGTCGTGACCTGACCACGTCCTCCGACCTCAGGCGTGCCGTGACCTGACCACGTCCTCTGACCTCAGGCGTGCCGTGACCTGACCACGTCCTCCGACCTCAGGCGTGCCGTGACCTGACCACGTCCTCCGATCTCAGGCGTGCCGTGACCTGACCACGTCCTCCGACCTCAGGCGTGCCGTGACCTGACCACGTCCTCCGACCTCAGGCGTGCCGTAGCCTGACCACGTCCTCCGACCTCAGGCGTGCCGTGACCTGACCACGTCCTCCGACCTCAGGCGTGCCGTAGCCTGACCACGTCCTCCGACCTCAGGCGTGCCGTGACCTGACCACGTCCTCCGACCTCAGGCGTGCCGTAGCCTGACCACGTCCTCCGACCTCAGACGTGCCGTGACCTGACCACCAGGCGTACCGTGACCCGATGATGTCCTCTTACATCAGGCGTGCTGGTGGCCATGGTGGCCGTGGCCGACACGGTGAAGCCGGAGGCGCACCTGGCCGTGTACACGCTGAAGCGGATGGGCCTGGACGTCGTGCTGCTGACTGGCGACAACCAGAAGACGGCGGCGGCCATCGCGCGCCAGGCCGGCATCTCGCGCGTCTTCGCCGAGGTCCTGCCGTCGCATAAGGTGACCGGCCGCCGCGGTGCCCTTCCCTCCCTGTCGCCACGTTCCTCTTGGTTCCGCTCCTTCCACACGGCGTGCTGGGTCGTCACTCTCAGCATGGCTGGTGTGCCGCTGTCTGGGATGTGGCGCCTGTGTGAATGCGTGGTGGGAGAGGGACGCATCGATACACGCTGGTGCATTGCCGCGTCCGTGACCTCTGCTGGCGTGCCACCTGTGCAGCGAGAGGCGGCTGTTGGTGATTGCGTCAGACGGGGTATTCGTCAATGTCCTTTTACTCCAGCTGCGTTATGCAGCGAACCGGTGCGTTTTTCCTCATGCACTGTGCGGCTTTTTATCAGCTCGCATTCACATGTGCAATATGGCCAGACAATATGCCATGCGATGTCGTGACCATACTAATAGTATATCCTCTATCATAGCAATGACGTACCAAATACCATAAGATGTCCGTATATGAATGCAAAACTGTCGAAACACATAATTAAGCGCACTCCTTAACACAAGGAAATGTTAATACTTTATGGTATTTCTCTTAACATCAGTACGAGCAAACGTAAGCCGCGCGCTGCGCCGCGAGCGCTGCGTGACATGCTATCGCGTGTCGGCCCCAGCTGCTCTCATGGTGAAAGGCCTCATGTGAGTGAGCAGGCTCCTGTTAAATATACCTCTTTCGCGAACGGGCCGTGTGTGTCCAGCCCAGGTGACGTCACATCTGGCGGTCCCTGTACCGCACTCGAACCCAGTGCCGCTCCCCCGTCCGTACTGACGCCGCCGCCGCGGTCGGCCGCCCAGGTGAAGAAGATCCAGCAGCTGCAGTCGCTGGGCCAGCGAGTGGCCATGGTGGGCGACGGCATCAACGACTCGCCGGCGCTGACGCAGGCCGACGTCGGCATCGCCATCTCGTCTGGCACGGACGTGGCCGTCGAGGCGGCCAGCATCGTGCTCATGCGGGTCAGTGGCGCCGTCGGACCCCCTGCCGCGTCCTCCACGAGCTGCGGCACCGGATCGCTAGGTGGCGGGTGCCCCTTCACTGCTGGCTGGATGGGTGAGGGGCTGGGCGGATAGGCATGCACGGCGTGCGATGCGAGGATGGGATCCACGGGAGGTGAGGGTTGGTGCTTGCATAAGAGGAGGGGGGGGGGGGGGGGGGGGGGGGGGAGGGTTGTGGATCGGTTCGCCGTGGTGGTTCAGTAGCGCAGTCGGACGATGGAGCTGGACTGCCGATCGGGGCGCGTTCTGCGCCACCTGCGGTTTTTCGTGGAAGACTGGTGGGCGTGGGCCAGCTGTGGTGGTCAGTGTTCGGGTTTGTGATGTTTTGAACATGATTAGGTGCCCCTTGTCATGTATTGTAGGACATAGGCATGAAGAAGACGGCGCTGTTTCTTTTAGCAAGGTTACGGTCGTCACACCAGTGCGACGACCGTAACCACACCATTCTTACATGTTTTACCTGGCATAAATTACAAATTTGTTCTGATCTAGGATGCCTCGCCGTCTTTGGTGTGTAGGACTGGCCCGTCCTCGTAACTTGGTTTTTGTTCCTTACTAAAACAGCGTTGTAAGTGGAAGCTCACGGAGGGCACGCACCAGGTAAAACGGGTGAGAGGACCCAATGGAGAGCGTGGTTGTTCGAATCTTTGCTTATCTCATGTCTTATCTTTGCTCACCCGTCTTTTTCCTTGCAGAACGATCTGCTCGACGTTATTGCCTGTCTCGATCTCTCGCGGAGAACAGTGAAGAGGATAAGAATGAACTTCGTCTTCGCCAGTATTTATAACCTCGTCGGTACGTTAGCTTCTTTTTAGCTAACTCCCACTGCACACCGATTGTGATGCCAGCGACTCAATGCCCTGCATTTGACAGTGGTGGACATCTCCCGGCCTCGTGTGCCATTATGTCGGGTGGTTTCCTCGGCTAGATGTGCCTCCTCCCTTAACTGATATCCCTCAGGTAATGGTGACGCTCGGTCACAGGTCATTGATATGATACGAATGTGACTCCATTACATGTCCGCGCAGGCAGCCCTCGGATTAATACGCACTGACACCGTGACAAGCACCGAACCTGTGAGCTCGGTGTGACCCCAGCAGCAAGACGTATCTCAACTCAGCATCGCTCGGGACGGGCACCCCTCGGCTGGGTGACCACCGCTCTGACAGGCCTCACGCGGCTGAATGCGCCGCCCCCCTCCCCCCGATGACACAGTCGCACTCGTGACTTCAGCGGTGCCGCTCTCTGTCGACGGCGGTGCCCCGTGCGCCTGCTCCAGTGGGGCCGCGCCCCCTAGCTCAGCGTGTTTCTCTCCTCTCCGTGCGGCAGGTATTCCTCTGGCGGCCGGCGTGTTCCGGCCCTGGGGTATCGTGCTGCAGCCGTGGATGGGCTCGGCCGCCATGGCTCTCAGCTCGGTCTCGGTCGTCTGCTCCTCGCTGCTGCTCAAGCTGTGAGTTCGCGAACGGAAGTGCTGTCGGGGCAGATCCGCCGGCTCTGCTGTAGCCGCACCGGCTGTCCCATTGGCGGTCCGAAGACACGTCTTGTGAACGCGTCGTTTTAAGCCGTCGGCCCGTTGGCGTTTTCTACATAGTTTGTCTCTAGTGCGCGACTCCGTAACGGATCGGGTATGTACCGTCGGCGCAACGTGGGTGGACATTTCGTGGCTCTAACAGACAGAGATCCGCTTCCTGGCGTGCAATATTGAGCGTTGCGCGCCGTCCCGTGCGGGGTCCAGGGATGGCCGGGGGGCGTCCACTATTATGTGTCCACTGTCCAGGCTGCCGTGCTGTGGCGACCAGGCTACTGGCGATTTCTGGATCCTTATCGTTTCCACTAACGATTCTGTCCGCATTTGAATGTCCCGTGCTTCTGACCCTCCGCTTCACCTTCTTGACCTCTTGACTTCCCGCCGCGTGGATCTGGCCGCTGCTTGTGTTAGAGGAGATGCGTGAGTTACACGCTAGTCCTTGTACAAACATGTCTCATAGTAAGATTTCACTGATGATTTAATGGTACGATGCTGAGTGTGATGCTCATGATGGTGCCGACGTTCATGATGATGTTGGTGACGGACCTGCCAACCCCGGCCGTCGATGGCAGGTACAAGAAGCCGACCCGCGAGAGCCTGGCCACTTGGAGTACCTGAAGGCCATGGGAGGCGCGCTCGCTGGCGCACGACTCGGCCGACAAACCGTGTCCATCCACCGCGGCCTGGACGACATCACCATTAGCATGCCGAAGACCAGCACCAGCCTCAGCAGGTTGGGCCCCCGTCGGCGTCGTCCGGGGGCGTTCAGCGCGCGCGCCGCGGTCTCCGGGGGTCGAGCCGGCGCGGCGCGGTCTCCGGTGGATCGAGCCGGCCCGGCGCGGTTCTCCGGGAGATCGAGCCGGCGCGGCGCGGTCTCCGGTGGATCGAGGCCGGCGTAGCGCGGTCTCCGCGAGATTGAGCTGGCGCGGGCGCGGTCTCCGGTGGATCGAGCCGGCGTAGCGCGGTCCTCCGCGAGAATTGAGCCGGCCGGTCGCCGCGGCGTCTCCGGGTGGATCGAGCCGGCGCGGTGCGGTCTCCGGAAGATTGAGCCGGGCGCGGCGGGTCTCCGGAAGATCGAGCCGGCGGCGGCGCTGGTGCAGTCGGCACAGCCGTTTTCTTTCCAGCTATGTGTGCGGTGGCTGGTGCACTAGCGGAGTGGGAGTAGCCGATTTGCATGAAGTTTGCTGTGATGTGGTAATTTTCTTTTGCTGCTCTTTATTTGCTCCCTTTTGGCTTTGTGGTGGCGGTACTGAGGCCTTGGCATGGTTGAAGGTCCCCCAGGTGATCCTTTCAGCTGCTGCTTCCGTCGCTTTCTATCTCTAACACCCTCTCAGCCTCCAACAAGGCCTTGCATGGCAGCTTCAATAATCGCCAGTGAGTAGCGCGACTCGCATGAGCTCCCCCTCCGCCTAGCAGGTCGACGGGAGCGGTCGACGCTCACCGATGATGAAGGGAAGCAGCTTCTCCTCCGACCACAGTCACCTCTAGTCATCCGTGAGTTGTGCTGGCCTGGTGCCGGTCATGTTCGGGGAGCCGTTGTGAGCTGTTGCTGAATCGTGCGGCGTCGGTGTCCGCTGCCGCAAGCCGCGATGGCTTGATTTTGGACTCGGCTGACGGCACAGTCGACGTGTAACCAAGGCATGCCGCGGCTGTTGGTGAGGTCAACATGGCCCATGCATGCCGCAAAGGCACTGAAATCGAAGCAGAAAGGAAGGAAATGTCCGTCTTTATCATGTCGGCTAGTGATCGTGGAACAGTTGCAAGATGCTGCTTCATTGTCACGTGGGCGTGGCGCGGGATGGTGCTCACGCTGAGTACCGCACGCCAGAAAGCGGACCTGCACATTACAGAGCTTAAACATCCGCCCACATTGGTTCGACCATACATAAGCGATCCGGCGAGACCGGCCCCACCACACAGAAACTACGAACTAAAAAAAACTAAAAACTTAACTAAACAAAAAACTAAAGCACATCCTACGGGCTGGCGCTTTACAACGACGCGGTCACAAGGCATGCTTCCGCGCGCAAATGGAGCATCAGCAGCAATGAACGTCGTATGCAGATGCTGCATTGGACTCCCCCCCCCCCCCCCCTCCCCCCGGCAACCGTGTAGACCCATAGGCGTGTTTATACCCAGGCTGTTCACTGGTAGCCTTAAAGTATGGTACGTAAAACTGGAGCAGTGTTTAGAAGTCGAGATATTCCGTTGAGTCGTTTTCCGTTGAGAGTAAACCCCATGCATGCATGCAGTAAATAATCTTCACGCATTGTAAGACTGTGAATGCTGCACCCACTTTGTGTCGGTCCGGCAGTGAGGATGGCGATAAGAATGCGTGGTATCTGATAACATGTATAATGATGCAGCACCATACACACAGGCAAGGAGAAAGTATGTTGACATTGTTACCAGCATGCTGAGAAAGGCCTTTATGGATTCAGGCAGGTGTCATTCAACATTTGCTTGCCTTTCTTGCACAAATTTGCACTTTCGCTCTTCATTTGCATGGCATGCGTCTTGGTTTGTGTGTCCACTGCACCCACGGAGAGCCGCTCCCGTCGATCCCTGCTGCGTTGATTCACTGTCACTAAATCGCTTGCGGTCCAAGCTTAGCGTACAAGCCTAACATGTTTGGTGGACTTTTCAGTGGTTTGTGGAGCAAAAGCTTGCTTTGTAGCCACAGCCGCGTTCTTGAATTCAGATGTGGATTGGCGGGCAACTAACGAAACAAACCGTCTTGTAGTGTCAGTATGCTAAAGTCTGTCACGCAGGCCCTCCGTCTCGGACGGACGCGGGCGAGTCCTCGCCACCGGCCGCCGGCCGGGCCGCGTTGCGTGTGTCGCTCGGGACGCGGAGCGCCGGCGACGGCCGACGCTGACTGCCGCGGCTGGTCCGCCGCAGGCTGTGGAGCGGAGTCTGCTGATCTTCCGGCCCAGCCACCAGCGTGCTGGCCACCGTAGGACTCGGACGAGGAGACGAGATTGCGGCCGCTCCAGTGAGCACCGGCCGATGGCGGGGCCTCAGCCGAACTCAGAGCCGTCGAGTTGGAGGACGCTGGGGTCCCCGCCGTTCTGGACTCGCCTTGGCCGCCTCGTGACGGCGACGCCAGTATATGCCAGTACACAGAGCAGACTTGATTGTCAGCGTCCGTAAATTGTCCGCAGCCCGCACCTGTCTTCGCGGCCAGCCGGCTCGCACCTCTGGACAGCACACTACGTTAGTATTTCTGCCCTAGAATTGCTAGCGGACAAACGTGCCAAGGTGTCTCGATGTCTCGTGAGGCGGGGGGGGGGGGGGGGAGGGGAGTAAGGAGTGACCGAGACGTATGCGGGTCGGGCGCGTTTGTTTCTGTTGTTTATCCGGGGCGCGTCTGCCAGTCTGGAGAACGCTCCCGCTCGTCGCCCAGGGCTCATCTGCGCATGCGCCGATGCGCTTGATTTTAATTGAAAGTGTACTTTGAACGTGCCTCAGAATAACTGTTTTGTTGATTTTTTTGTCGTGTCCTGGCATTGTTTTAAGTATCTCCGACGTGCGATTGTCTCACAGCTATGTGGTCGTCTTGTAGTTACATGAGTGTATTCCGGCCCTCGGGAGGTGTATTGAGCTTCTGTTCAAAAGTGGAAGCCCGTAGGAGTATTTTCCGCCGTTATCAAAGGCAAATTATAGTAAAATAACTTGGGGGCTGAGTAGTAAAAAATGACGCAGCCTTCCCTTAAACACACCAACAAACGGGTTTTCTATGGATTTGGCTCACTTTCTTGGAGCTGGAAGAGGATGGGACTGCAGCCCCGCCCCCAGCCGAATAGGAAAAGACACTCCCGACCGTCACTGACAGTGAACAAATGATATTGTAAGCAGGTGGAGCAGATTGTGATAGTCACTTGCGGGACGTTTGTACTGGCCCTTCCCCGGGCAGAAATCTATGGAACGTTGTGTCACGTAGTTCCGATTCCGGAAGGTCCCCCAATGTATAGCATGCGTTTCTGATTTAGGATGTGTTGCACATGTTTATATGCGTGATTTAGGCGAAATGTGCGCTTGTATTTGTTTTCTATGTGGAGACACTATGGTTTGCACTACGTTGCACTATGACCCTACGAACACGTTTGCGGAGGGTAACAGCCTGTCGTATATTTCTGGGACCTGGCTAGCTCCAGTCCCAATGTCTCAGTTCGCCTGGGACTGAGTGTACGTGTCCTTGCGCTGGTTCGTTTCCGATATACCAAAGTGCCATCCGCGCCGTTTTTCCTCACGGAGCTTCCCCGAGGGGCAGGTCAGTCCTTGTGAGGTCCAGCCTCGCTGCCGCTGTTTCCAAATGGCGCTCCACTATCACCATCACTGCTTCCATACGCCGGCCGGTGGAAGCTACGTAAAGAACGCTGCCGGCCTATTTTCCCAGAGCGGCCCGTGTGAGCGAGACGAAGTGTGGAAGTGTGGCGTTTGGTATTGTTTATAGTGCGATACTGCGGCCTGCCGATGCCATGCAAATGTGTAGCGGCTGGCGACACGTTAACCTCGTTGTATGCTGACGCGTCTTCAGAGCGCATGAGCGGCCCTCCCTGCCTGACATTTTGTATCCGAGGTGTCGTTTGATTTGAATGCCGGGCCTGCTGGCGGCACTGAATATGCAAGTCTCTGAGGAGCACACGCTGAACGCACAGCCGACCAAGCGGTGCCACTGGCTCTCGGCCGGACCGGCGGTGCTGGCCTGCGCTGGGCGGACCGGCGGACCGGCGGACCGGCGCTGGCCGGCGCAAACCCGGGCGGGGTCCAGCGCGACACGCGGCAGCGTGCCGGTGCGGCCGTGGGCGGCACCATGACACCGCCGCTTTGGTGACCAATACATCGGAGCTGAGCGAGGCGCGCTGTTTGGAGAAGGGCGACGCCGGGCGGTATGGCTGGACGGTGCCGTCCGGGGAGCGCGAGTGGTCACGGCGCCTCCTGGGCGGTGGCCGATGACGGCCGGACGAGTTGTCGGATCGTGTCCGAAACGCAGGCGCGCGATCCGACCCGATCGAATCAAATCGGATCGGATCGGATAGGAATGTATGGGATCGAATCGGATCGGATCGGATTGTTAAAGTTGGTCTACGTGTAACTAAAACAGCAACAGGGCTCAACAAGTCCCATGTGTATTTATGAAGTGCCCGCGAGCGCAACCACACGTAATGTCCTCCGCAGTTGGGCATAACGACGAGAGATGAACTGGATATTAGAAAGGTCTTCAGTTTCGGGTTTTTCGGCATTTTGAATCCAACGCTAATTTGTGAGTTACACGACCTTCAATATACCAGGAGGTACTGATTAAACAACGCTGTGGTACTTACCGATTATATTGAAGGTACTCAATATTTCGAGCTGTGCTCATCCTCTTCAGGATGAGCACAGGTCGAAATACTAAGCACTGTCAGTATGACCGCTACGAAGACAACGTCGTTTAACCAGTTCCTCCTGGTATATTGAGGTTCATTGAATAAACATTTGAACTGAACTCATAATAGAGATGAGTTAGACTGGCCTATCTTGGGTGCTGGGCTTGGAGCATACGCAGTGGCTTTTGCTTAGAGAGTGCTACAAGCCCACAGCCAGACTCGCAAACTTTTCTTTATTTTTTTGAACTTTTCAAACGACAGTCGATGCTCAGGCCGCGGCTTTGAGCCGCCGGCTGCGTGACAAACTTTGAAAGGGGTGTGCTGTGCCCACTGACGTCATCTTCAATTACGCTCGTGAGTACTGTCTGGGAAGCCTGAAATTGGTAAAGTCCGTTGATAAACACTTCGTAGTCGTCCTGTTGCATCCTATGACCCGGGCATATGTACGACGTGTAAGGGACCGGTTCAACGGGACGGTCAGCCGACCGGGCTTCCACCAACGTAACGCACATCTCGGGCGGCTGAGGCTACTGTTGTGCAGCTGGCAACGCCGTGCTAAAACAATTGGTCATAATGCTCGTTTAGCAGTTCCGCTGGCAGCATCGTAAAGACGCCTCCGTGCCATGCTGCATGACGACATGCATGGGCAGCAGGGGGCTCACCGTGGGGCGCTGCCCAGACAGCCTGTCGTGGCGCACCCTTTCGCTGCTGGGTGGCCAGAGGTGGCATTGTCTGTTGACGGCGTTGGTATTTTTCTGGCTCACGCTAGTTGCGTTCGTAGCGGCGCAGCCTGCGTGCAATGAAGAACACCTGTCTAGACCTGTGCATGGGACATAATTAGCTGTGACGGCCCATTGTCGAGAATAACAGGCAAGATACCAAGGCGTCAGTGTCCGGAAGTGTGCCCACGCAGTAAAAGCATGAGACCGCACAACACATAAAATGAGGAGCGGAAATAATGGAATGGGGCTGCGGGGGTTCCCACGAGTCACATGTGTTCTTCCCTTAAGCAATGGGACAGCGAGACGGAGCAGATCAGGAAGACAAGCATGAACTGAATGGCGTCCACCAACAAAAACGTCCTCCGTTACGGTGCAGCCACTGCGATGGGCGCGTTCAAGCTGCCGTCCTGTCCCGCGTGCACTTGTAT